GGCTCCCTGAGACACGGGCACGGCAGGCTGGTGGGCGAGGACGGCTCCGTCTTCGAGGGGTCCTTCTTCGATGGCGAGTTCTGCGGGGAGGGGGTGTTCAGGTACCGCCCTCTCCCTCCCGAGGCCAAGTCGTGCCTCCCCCCCCAAACCTCCTCGCGGCCCGGACAGAAATTGCGACGGAAGGGGCTCCCTCCTCCCTTTTCCATGCGCTTCACCCACCCAGTGCAAGGCTTCGCGGCCCCATAAGAGGGTCCCACCGAATGTCCCAGTGGCACCGCCCGCATGCGTCCGCCATCACCCAGCACAGCCCTTGCTCCTTGCGTTTCGCCTACCCAGTACAGCGCTTCGTGGCCCCATAGGGAGCTCCATCGACGGTCCCAGTGGCACCGCCCGCATGCGCCCGCCACCACCCAGCATAGCCCTTGCTTCCTTCGTTTCACCCACCCAGTACAGCATTTCGTGGCCCCGTAGGGGGCTCCACCCAAGGTCCCAATGGCACCGCCCGCATGCGTCCGCCACCACCCAGCACAGCCATTGCTCCCTTCGTTTCTCCCACACCTAGTACAAGCTTTCGTGGCCCCATAGAGGGTTCCACCGAAGGTCCCAGTGGCACCGCCCGCATGCGTCCGCCACCACCCAGCACAGCCCTTGCTCCCTTCGCTTCACCCACCCAATACAGCATTTCGTGGCCTCATAAAAAGGGGGCTCCACCGAAGGTCCCAGGGGCACCGCCCGCATGCGTCCGCCACCACCCAACACAGCCCTTGTTCCGTCCGTTTCACCTACCTAGTACAGCGGTTCGTGGCCCCATAAGGAACTCCACCGACGGTCCCAGTGGCACCATGTGGCACCGCCCGCATGCGTCCGCCACCACCCAGCACAGCCCATGCTCTCTCCGCTTCACCAACCCAGTACAGCGCTGCGTGGCCCCATAAAGGGGGCTCCACCGAAGGTCACAGTGGCACCGCCCGCATGCGCCCGCCACCACGCAGCACAGCCCTTGCTCCCTGCGCTTCACCCACCCAGTACAGGGCGTCGTGGCTTCATATGGGGGCTCCACCGAAGGTCCCAGTGGCACCGCCCGCATGCGTCCGCCACCACCCAACACAGCCCTTGCTGCCTGCGCTTCGCCCGCCTAGTACAGCGGTTCGTGGCTCCGTGGGGAGCTCGTCCGACGGTCCCAGTGGCACCGCCCGCATGCGGCCGCCACCACCCAGCACAGCCATTTGTTCCCTTCGATCCACCCACCCAGTACAGCGTTTCGTGGCCCCATAAAAAGGGGGCTCCACCGAAGGTCTTGTCCCCCTCGGGCCCCGGGGCCCGGGTCCCGGAGGTCCGTGGTGTCCCGGTGGCCCTCTGGCCCTTGAGGGCCCCGGTCCCTCTTTCTCGACCTCCCCTCTCCCGCTCTCCGGGTTTAGCTACGGGTTAGGGCTCGGACTTTTTCCGTAGCCCTTTGGGCTTAGGCTGTGCGCCTGGCGCTTAGCAAAACACATCCCCCCTCCTTCGCCCCCTTTCCACGCCTCCTGCCGTGCTCTCAACTTGGGACAATGGTAAGCGGAGCAGCTGGTGAGGGGCAAGAGGGGGAGGATGATGCGGGCGCCGGCCGACAGCATGGCCAGACGCAGACGACACCGACCGATCCCTGGGCTGGATCAGTTCCAGAGACCACGCGCCCCGCAGCCGGGGCCGCGACCTCAGCTGGCGCCCAGGACCCTTGGTGGCGCCAGACGCGGGGAAGCGCGTGGCCAGGGTGGAGCTCGGCAGCGGGCTCGTGGCAGTGGGTGCCGGCCCAGCCAGCGGCGGCGGACACGGCCGCGGCTGGCGCGGTGTCTACGGGTGCAGCGGCAGCGGCGACGGAGCAGGACGGGCAGAGTGACTCGAGCCAGTGGGGTGGCTGGTGGAGTGGCTCCTGGGATCGCCCGAACCGCGACTTCGGCGCCCCGCCGGTGTGGCTCAACTATGAGCACCTCGACCTCTACAGGGGCAACCTACGTGCGTGGGCGAAGAGGACCGGGCACGCCGCGGAGGTTCAGGCAGCAAAAGTTCTGGAGACTCTTCCCGTCGAGATCCAAGGTAAGTTCAAGCTGGTGAGATCAACCTTGGACGTGCGCGACGGCGTGGAGAAGTTGTTGGACCACTTGGCGATACTCAACGGAGAACGCCCCGGCGACAAGGAGAGGGAGGCACAGAACGAGGCGCTTTTCGACTACAGCATCCGCCGTGGCGAGAGCTTGACGGACTACGTTATCAGAAGAGACGCCCAGATCTCGACGGCGGAGACCTTCGGACTGAAGCTTCCCGATGGAGTTCTCGCGCGATACCTGGAGGAGGGTGCCAACCTCAGTCAGCAGAATAAGATTAACTTGAGGACTCTGGCGGGTGGCGACAAGTCGTTTAAGGCTATCAGACAAGCTCTTCTGTTGCTGGACGTGCGCGAGCGCAGCGTGCCCCCAGGCTCGACCTCGACGGCGACTAAGACCTACGTGGAGCAGACTCCGGAGGAGCTCGAGGTTCCGCCATCTCCGGCCCCGTGGTGCGACGATCTGGAGGCGGTGTCGTTCTACGAGACGGTGGACGACTCGTTCGAGCTCCTCGAGGATGACGCTCAGACGTTCCTCACGGCCCATGAGGAGCAGGACTTGGCGGAGGACGACCTGATGCCCGTCCTGGCCGCCATCGTAGAGGAAAAGATCGGAAAGGAGAAACGCCGGACCTGGGCCGAGGCTCGCAAGATGAAGGCTACTCGCAAGGTTGATCGTGAATTCTTCGACCGTAGGCGCGCGTCCAAGCCAGGATACCGCCGTATCACCTCGGCCGACCTGAAGAAGAAGACGAGATGTGCCAACTGTGGTGAGCGCGGGCACTGGGCAGAGGACTGCAGGAAGCCCTACAGATCGAAGCTGGACCGGATCAATAGCGAGAAGAAGGGAGCCTCGTCCTCGGCTGCGACGAAAGGGTCCTCTCCTGGCTTCTTCTGCTACTTCAACGCCGACGGAGATCCCTCGTTCTTGACAGATGCTATGGCGATGGAGCTCGAGCTGGAGGCCGACCTCGACAAGAGCTACTGCGACGGGCTCGTGGCCGTCCGCGACCTGAAGCAGACCATCTCCCCCGCAGACAGACGCGGAGATGATGCAGCTGAGCCAGTGCCAGCGCGACTATGACAACTACGAGCTCGGGGCCGACCTCGGCTCGATTGTCGTTATCTCCGCCGGTGAAGCTGCTGAGTTATCTACGTGGGCGACCTTCAGCGTCGAACAGTGGGTAGGCCTGATTGGCCAGTCGGAGACACCGGAGGTTTCGCTTAGGAGCATGAGGGATCACGCACTTGTGGACACGGCAGCAGGCCAGGCCCTCATCGGAACCCCGGACGTGAAGAACCTAGTCGAGGCCTTTCGCAAGCGTGGCTACTTCGTGTTCGTCGACTGGACTCCGCTCGATGGTCGCAAGGCCTCGGGCATCGGCGGATCGGCCAAGACGGTGGGCAGGGCCTGGGTGCCATGCTCTTTGGCAGGATGTGGGTTCATCGAGTTTCTAGTCCTGGAAGGCCAGGTCCCGCCGATCTTGCCCGCCATGTTTCTTGAGATGATCGAGGCTAACATTGATCTGAAGGCTGACGAGATGACCGTGACAGATTGCGGAGATAGAGTCGCGAGGCAGCTTTTCCGGATGCCGTCCGGGCATCGCTCGGTTTCTTTCATTCACTGCGCTCCCGAGCACTTCAGCATCCCCGAGGACATGAAGGCGAGCCTGCCCGCGGGCTGCCTGCCGCACCTCGTCCAGGACCGAAGGGGGGCGGGCAGTGAGGGCCGGGGGCGGCCTGTGCTTTCAGCCTTCCTCTCCTTTCTCTCTCGCTCTGGCTCTGTCTTGGGCTCCAGGGTCCGGGATCCGAAAGCCTCGGGGGTCCAAGGGAGCAGCGGGTCCGTAGCCTGTCCGGTTCAAGACGTCAGGGAGCTTAACCTGGCCTCGACCAGCCCGGGGGGCAACGACGCGGGATCGGATGCCCGATCGCAACAAGCACGTTCTGAAGACCACGGGGGTCGGCAGCAAGCCGGGGACTCCGAGGCGCAGCAAGTTGCTGGGCTCCATCATCGAGAGCGACAGCGAGATGTCGTCAGGACCGGAGTGGGAGCAGCTTCCGGAGACCCTCGAGGACACCCTGAGGGCCGAGGCGATGCAGGAGAGCGAGAAGGAGCTCTTCCAGAACGGCCACATGCAGCTAAGGAAGTACGAGTATCGTTGGCGCAACTGGTACCTGCGCCTGGTCAACATGACGTACATCCTGGGCCGGATGAAGCACCTCTGCCAGAAGTTCCCGAAGACGTTCGTCGAGAGCTTCCCCATCGACTCGTGTCCTCACCCGCCGTGGGCTCGAAAGTCGGGGAGCAACTCCACCAGCGTCTACGAGCACTGCCAGCAGTGCTCCCAGCGCCTCTTCTTGAGGGGCAAGACGCCGGAGGAGATCTTCGAGGCCGAGAAGCGCAAGATCGACAAGCAGGCGGGCAAGGCCAACCGTGCGGACGCCAAGGCGAAGGCAGCTCAGATGGTGGAGGCGTACAAGAGCGGCCACTTCCCGATCATGCCGCCGGATCCGTGGACGCCAGGACCGGAACCTCAGCGAGCTCGCCGCGTCCTGGAGGGGAGCGGACCTACGGCGAAGGTGTCGGCGGCGGGGATCCCTCCGGTTCCGCAGAACCTTTACGCGCCGGTGAGCGAGGGGTACGTGCCCTACAAGCACCCCTCCCCGGCGCAGCTGGAGGCGGCCGAGCCGACGATGATCGCCTCAGGAGGCCGGGCGATCGACTTCTCGGCGCAGAGGGCGGCGAGCCGAGCAGCCGGAGCCGTGGCCAAGCCGCCGGGACCTTCGGCGTCTCGGCCCATGACGACGACCGAAATGCAGATCGCGCTGTCAGACGTGAAGATCTGCATCGAGACCCAGGCCAAGGCCAACGAGAGGGTGTGGGGCACGGTCCAGAGTTTCGTCAATCAGGAGAGGGAGATGCGCGCGCAGCAGCCCGCGCCGAGCCTCTCGGACCAGGACCTCGGGAAGATTGCGGCCATGATGATGCGCATGCAGGCGCAGCTGGAGCAGCAGCAGGGC